AAAAGATTTAAAAGATAAACCCAAAATATACCTCCATGGATGGAACGTAACAAAGTAAATAATTAATTCATATTCATTCACTTTTACAGCTACTGATTAATTTAAACCCTTCCAATCTGCTATTTTCAGTGTTAAAGTGATGCAGACAAATTGATACGTGATCATTTTATTATTTTTAATTTAATCTAAATAATTAAATGCATATAATTTTGTGCATTGCCATATGTTAACAGGATTTGAAATTTTTATTCTGCACTTTGTAGCATTGCTAGGACTCACTCCACTAGTATGTAATTATACAGTGTTTGAACTGATCTGTACTCACACGCTGTTAGTGCTGCCTAAAAATAAATATAACATTACATGTGTTCAAAAATACATACAAATGATTTATCTCTTCTCTCCGTGTTCAATAAAAACAATGTTCGACTTTTTGTTCGTATTGACTTCACTGACTGACTTTCTTTTAGAACAATTACATTATATACCAATTTGATACTATGGTTTCCTTGGCAACAGTGCAAATTACTTTGACCAGCATTAAAAAAAAAGCCTCACAAAAGCCTTAAATTAAATGTTCAGTATATTCATTGATTTAACACAGACGCGGGGCTGAATTAGGTTAGATGCATAATTGAAAAAGTTTTCTCACATTCTCAGTTAGCAGACTACAGATTTCATGATGCCACTTCAAAGGTTTTGCTTTATTTTTTTCCTGAAGCACACATCTCAACGAGAAAGCTCCGGGTTTTAGCACACGTGAGAAGAAACCAGACAAAATGGTACATGTGCACGAGGGAAGCCTGCTCAACGGCATGGGTGGGAATGGAAGCCTGAATTGGCTGGAGTGCTGTGGCTGATGCTGAGAGGACAACAAAGTAATTATGGGACAGTTAAGGATATGCATAGCACTGAGAGAGTGAGTGAGAAGAAACCAGAAACTAAGAAAAGGAAGTGGCAGAAGAAGAAAGGGTCAGGAGGGGTGTAATGACCTCCTGCAATCTCCATCACGCCAATTAATTAGCCTCTGACTAGCAGCCATCTGGAAAAGAGAGGGCACTTTTTCACTCGGCTGTCTGTCTACCTATCCACGCTCAGATTCATACATCCTCATTTTAACACTTTATCTATTTTTGTATTGCTTATTCTTCCATCTGTCTGTTTCCCGTGTGTCTAACTATATGCAGATCTAACTGACAGTCAGACTGTTTTGGCTCTCTCCTCCAACTGTGTACCATATTGACTAAAGACCCTGATGAATCCCTGTTGTACGGGTACATATTCATAAAATGTACACATCTAACGTCACACTCAAACACACACAAAACCCTGACAAAGGAGTAGCCGACTGCTCCAGCTGCACTTTCTTCTTTTTCCACAAGGGGTCATGATTACACTAAAAAGACTCTTTCCAGTGTTTCTAGCCCTTCTCTGCAGTCATTTGTGTCTGTGTGCAGGAGCAACCAGACTGTGGGATTCTTTTGTATTTGGATGGTTTTTGCCTGGTGGTACAACAAAAGCAGATTCACATAAGATAATCAATTATGATTCCACATTCAAGCTGCATTCACGCCTAAGATCCCCATAAATCAATGCCGATTGCTCAACTAATAGCAACAAGCATTCCACTGTAAAAGAGGAACAAACATTTAGAAAGAGATGAGTAGTTCACTTTTGTTCACACACGGTTTACATCTGAGACTGGAATTTTGAAAAGGTTATGAGCACTGCAACAACAAATACAAGTAGCACAACAAACCCCCAAAAAGCTAAATAAAGACAACTTTTCTGTGACAGTCTCTCTGTGTGTCTGTTATTAAATGTGTAAGCTAGAGAGAAGACATTCAAAACAGCTTTAGTTTTTGGGATACACCTTTCAGTGATAGAAGAAAGTACAGCAGTCATTTAAATTCTCTGAAGCCTCCCTTAAATGAAACGGATCCTTGTATAAAAAAAAACATTTGCACAATATGTGGTTAAATGGAAAGGCTGTAGAACTGCACTGTAGTTCTACAGCCAAGCAAAATAATGCCAAGCTGAGTGGGAAATGCTACATAAGGACTTTAGTGATTTTATAATGGAAGCTCTCATTGTACAATTCAACATTTTTTCTGGGATTATCCCAGAAACATCAACCATGTTTTGTTGGCAAGGTGTAACTGTGTTGAATCCAGAAATATAGAACATGTGACTGTATCAAAAGTTTAGTAAAAATGCTACATTAAGAAGTGTACAATGTGTTTCCAAACAAAAGAAAGGTATTAAATGAGTAAATATCCACCTTCTACAATCTCCTTTACTTCTTTATTGAGTAAAATAAATAAAAAGGTGTCAGACACCCTGAAATTGGTACAGAATCTTTAACAGGTAAAGTCACTATATTGGCTATAAGAGATATTCAATAGTAGGGTATTGTTATTAACTTCACGCCATTAAAACACATGAAGTTCTAATTTGATCCATTTCTATGAGCCACAATCAACACAACTTCATGAAATGGCCAAAATTATCTTTTGAATATTTTTATAGGATTTGAAAAACTCATAGTTAAGAGCCTGATCAGCTGCTAGCTGCAGTTCTTCTGTTCTGCTTTGGACTTAGCAGCTGATTTATTGACAACCAGAATAACTGCAGTGTTACACTATAATACCTTGCACTGACAATAACTCTCAGGACTATCATACTACTCCTGTTCAGGTAATGAACAAATGATGCCACTCTCTTTTGTGACCCCATAATAAAAAATTTCACCAGCTTTTAAAATCACTAATACTAATGCACTAGTTTGTTAAATTGTAATAGAAATGTATCTGAACTGAGTTTATTCAGTTTGTGGTTACATTAAACGTGTATTCTGCTCTCATTTAATTTATTTATGCGCTTCTAACAAGTTGAGAAACAAAAGGGGATTCTTTAGAGTATTATAATGCTTATTTACTCTTCCTTTGTTGCTTTGGTATCTTATGTAACTTTTTGTTGGAGGGCTGCAAAGTTTCAAAGTCCACTTCAAATTGAGTAATTCTCTCTGGCCGAAAACCGTGCCGCTCGACAGCCTGAAACACCTTTTTCTGCAGGGCTAGACTTTCTTCAGTGCTTATCTTCCTCACCGTGGGATACATTTGCATGATGCTTACCTAACAACCTAACAGGAGAAAGCAGCAGCCTAACGGTCCCTTCTTTAACTAAAAGCTGTTCTGTTGCTCGCTGCAAGAGCAAATACAAGAGCCTTCACCCACTTCCTGCAACTGCAGAGCTAAAGTCCCTGTTTATTATATTCATTTAATGGCACCGTCCCCAAAGCAAAAGGAAAACCCTTAGTGAAGACACTATGACGAGCGAGTGAGCCTAATGTCACCTTTAGCTTTGATCATTTGCCCCTGGGGCCATTTGGAACTTGTAAGGCTAAAAATCATACTCTGTGTTGGTTAAAATCACCCGGCCTTTTTTTAACATTCCCAGAAAATGCATGTTAAGAAAAGAGAACATATTTTGCCAAATTTCTCAGTTTAAAAAAAGAGTTGGAGCTTGACTCAAGTATAACAGAATCCTTCTTTCATCTTGTTTCATTTCCAGCTCTCTGAAAGTTTAACCAAAAATTCATCAGGGTGGCTTTTTGGGTATGTTGTTGATAGACGAACAAACAACTCTGAGGAACAAAAGTTCAGCATGCAAGTACTTACAGAAATGGTTAAGCCATTATCTGAAAGCATTGTGCACTGTGTAACAAAACAGCTTTCACAGGAATCTCTTCTGTCCCCAATCCAATTCTGGTTGAGCATGTAGGGTTGAACTTAGAAGTATATAAAGTGTGCGATTATCAGTTTGGGGTTTTTTTTGGAGGGCAGTAATTTTAGGTGTCCGCACTGGGCCACCCGAACTAATTACAGAACAGAATTTCTTCTGGAACAGGCAAGTATTGGATTCACAAAGCAAAACAACCCACCACAGAAGAATTCAGCATGCCCAGAACTCATTCAGTGGGTATCCCTTGCTCTTTGATTGAATCCAGCACACAACTATAAAGTACAATAGGTGACCAGTGACTTATTTTTGTATTGGTAACTGACCACTGAGAGCAGAGGGGGGTGGGGGGTGGGGTGGGGGTAGCCTAGAAGAGAATGAAATTTAGTGTTATGTAAAAAAGTAACTGGAATTTATTTTGAACAGTGTAGCATGTAAACCTATTTTAGTGCTAAATAAATAATGATGTGCATAATATGGCCAATTTAAAAGATTTTTTTTGTATTAATAACTAAAAAAACGAATCTGAAAAAAAAAAAACAACCCAGAATGCTATTTGTATTTTTATTAACAGAATTAGGTAGTAGCAGTGATTTAAATGGTAAATGGTAAATGGCCTGCATTTGCATAGCGCTTTTCTAGTCCCTAAGGACCCCAAAGCGCTTCACACTACCATTTACCACTAACACATCACATCTAACAGGGGTAAATTCACATTTACCCCTGTTAGGTGTGTGTATATTTTTAGATAATCAATTACCCTGGTTAAAATAATTCTGTAAAAGTAATTATATAATAATTAAAACATTTATAAGACATTTATAGGACATTAATGTATGCCACTGGGGGGAAATAAATAAATGAATAAATAAAAATTAAAAATTATACAAATTTGGTCTATTGAAAGTTCATGTTAGTAGTAAATAATTATCTGGAAATTCTGACTTAATAACTCAAAGATTCGAGATGTTATTTCCAGATTTAACATAAGATAACATGACATAACAATTTGAAACTTTGACGTAATAACCCACAATCGTAACTTAGTTCATCTTTAACTTACTTTTTTGCAGTGTTGGAACCAAGCTTCAATTGTTATATCAAAGGGCTGTAATAATTTAAGGTGTATATGTTTTCTGTAAGTAGCACAGAGATTCACTGGGTATGGAAATTGTGGATAACGATTAATACGCTAGTAATAAGCCCGTAACAATCTGTTACGGGCTTAACTACACTCTATTTCCCACAGTGCTCCGCTCTCGAGTGCACGTGTCAATGATGCCAGCAGACCGGACTGAACGTCACATTCCTGCATTCCCTTTTTCCTCAGTGTGGGACGTCGGAGTTACCACTGGATAGCTAACCCTCTTCCCCCCTCGCTTTCTTTTAGAGAAACACACCCATGACACGGCGGATTTAATCTCTGGAGGCGATCCAAGGTTCGCCAGGAGTTCGCATTTCACTTCGGGTGAGGATTTACTTCGTTTTAAGACAACTGAAGGTGTTTTTCGGTTGGAGCGTTTCAACCGTTGTAACGAGATAACAGTTTTAAGAGATGCGCTGGATTTGCTGCGAGTTGTCTCAGTGAGTGACCTGGTTATGCTGGGATTGGTTAAGCCTCCACCAGCAGACCTGTTGATACGACAGAGTTGACGGAGACTTGTTTGAATTTGTAATTTATAGCCTTTCGGTTACTGCTCCTAAGGGCTAACGCTAGCCGGTCGGTTAGCCGCAAAGCTTGCGTCACCATTGTTACCGGCGATACGCGGGCACACGCAGACACACAGACACACACAACAGGGCGTGGAAGTGCCCCCAGATGTGGCTTTGTTACCTTAACAAGAACAATGCTGTGCAGCAGTTTCAAAACCTCTGACATAAACGAACCGTCATGTATCGCTTCACTGACCCTGGTACACACGGTACTAGCATCACAGACAGCATGGGCGTGGTTATAAGTGCTAAATTTTTTTAAAAAAAAAAGAAGCTTAAGCTATAGTGGCACAGGTTGTTAGTCTTTCTTTGGTTTCTGTAACGTTGCGTCATACTTGCTTGACAGGAATTATGGGAACAGTCGCTTAAAGCGTTAAAGTCAATCAGCTGTGCTGAGCTAGCTGCAGAGCACTGTCTCAGCTGTTGACCCTCACAACAAAGAGTGGATCATCACAGCTGCGACTGTGGCAGGACAGAGGCAGATCAACATTTCTGTCAGATTTGGAACTTCTGTCTAAATATATTTTAACATAAACTTTAGCTCATACTCCAATGATGAATGTGTTACATGTTATTCATTAATCATGCAGTCCTTAATGAGAAAACTTGGCAGACTTAATATTTTGATCACTAGCCGACCTGACTGTTGCTCTTTAGCTCACACTTTGGTGAAGTTTGCGCATGGCATTCCTGGGATTCCAGCTGTTTAGGGACTGATTGGATCAGAGTGACTTTACTGATTTAAGGAATGTTTGCATGCTGCTACAAGTCAAAAAGCAGAGACCAAGGTAACCTTTTTAATGCAGACCTAGAAGCTAGACCTATTTTGCATGATTGCATTATACAGGTGGTATTATTAATAGATAGAATAGAAAAAAAGATTGTCTGCAGTGATGAAAGGCTGTCTCTGCAGTGTATTTACCTTGTCACATTACTGTGATCACTTAGGAGACATATGCTATTTCATTAGAATGCCAAGTGGTCAGCCAGGTTCAGCCACTTTCTCATTCTGTACATGTACATGTAAAGTCCACCCATTTGGTAACATTTAGCTGTTGTGAAGATAGTTCAGTCAGTAATGATTTGCCCATGATCTGATAGTACATGAGCAAAGGCATACTTGGTTGAGATTTGCCTACAGTTGCAGGGAATTCAAGGATATATATGAAATTGAACTTTGATAATATGCCTATATTACTATCATCAAATAGCTGATCAAGAAAAAGAAACATCTGATACACTATGTGCCCCACATATCCTCAATAAAGGATACTGTGGATTCTTAATACACATTGCTACAGTTAGGAAATATTATAAATATCCATCCATTTGTTTTTTCACTTTGTGATATGTTGTGTAGTTAGATTACTCTCACATTAATATAAAACTGAGTTTTGCTGATGTGTAAATGTGGCCTGAAAAAAAGTTTCATTCATACTAATCTAAGAGTCAGTGCACCATCATCACCCCTGTGATCTGCCATCATGGCGCATGTGAATCCTGCATTAACGTGATGAACGATCGTTATTGTGAACTCTGTCCTGGGAGACCATACAGGGACAAAAAAAGAGAAAAGACAATAATGAAAGGCCGATCTCGCCAGTGATGCCAAGGTTAATGTCCATAGCAGCAGGTAACTCTTACCTCTGTGTTGTATGTTAACGTAAGCATTAGAAAACAAGCTGGTGTTTAGGTCATGACATAGACCTGGTTCCCTGTATGTGCGTGTAGCGCTTTGAAGAATGTGGAGGAGGCACAAATATAGCAGCAATCTTACGGAGAGAGAGTGGGAGCTGCCTGCACAAAACTGGATCATCCTGAGTCAGGCTGTGAAGCAGAAATCTAGCCTTGTTTCAGTGGGGGCTGCTCCTCATTACATTGCTTCTCTGGAACGGATGAGTGAGTGGGAAATGAGAAAGTGAGGACAGAGTGATTACACGGTTGATGAATCAGAGAAACATACAGCAGTTCTGTGAGAGATGACGGAGCTCCAACATGTTAAATACTAAGGTTTTTGCAGTAAGCCATTGTGTTTCTACTAGTTGTGTTGTTTGTGTGGTTGATCTCTTTGTCAGCAGTTTTGTCATCATCTCAGCCCTGACCAATAATAGCCACAGCTCTGTTGAACACTCACCTTTGTGCCTGTCTTTTGACTTTTGGTTGCTGTTCACCTTTAAGGTCTCAGGACTGTTATCTACCCTCCATACATGTTAGGAAGCCTGTGAGCAGGTCAGCATGCCCTCATTTGTTTGTCACACCTCCACGCTCGTGTGTCCAGACAGAAGAGCATAGCAATGTGGAGCTTCAATCCCAGCAGTTCTGCAGTACTGCACATGCCCAGTCCATTCCCATTTGGTCAGTACAGGGACAAAGAGGGACAAAAGAGGACAATGAGGCTATTGTTTTAAGTATACACACACACCATTGTACCTCCCCTCTCGTGTGACATGTGCACACACTGTTAGTCTCTTCCACTGGATTCAGGTCGTTCTAATCACACACTTGTACACATAAGAGGGAAAAAACGGAATATTTTTATATTTTGTTTTATGTAGCTTATATTGCAGTGTGAAAAAATACATAGTATTTTATGACTTGAATTGCTCTGCTAGGAGAGTTGATCTTTGTAGAATGACTGTGTGATTTTGCAGTGGAGCGCATCTTTGTAGAAAAAAAATCTATATTTATAAAGTGCCAAAAAAGAATGACCTCTTAAGCTGATTTACATCAGTTGTTCTTGAGAGAACTTTCATGCGGTCGTTTTCAACACAACAGTTTGTGGAGGAGAAACTCTTCCAGCGCTAGGGAGATGAATGAGGGCAGGAAGTCAGACAAATAAACGGCATTGAGCATCCAGTTAATTTTCAGAGTTAACTGTGGGGATTAATTGCTATCAGTGTGCTCTGAAGCCATCAGCAAAGATCATCATCATCAAGTATAACTGAAGCTGAATGTCTAACCTCGAGGCTCCCTATCGCACATAAATCTGTTTTTATATTGTTATGACTGTAACTTTTAGCTATGTAAAGGGATATTCCCCTTGTTTAGCCCTGACAATTCCCTTGTATCCATGTCATCTTTAGTAGTAACAATAATAGATCTACAAAGGCAGTTTTCTCGATTGTTGCCACCTGTTGCTCTGGTAACAGGATTTCTGCCTCTGTTTTGGTGCTGTACTTCCCGATGCCTGTCAGGGGTATCCTGAGGTTGACTACTTACCTACGTTGCAAACTTGACCAACAAGCCACCCCTCTCAGGCTTACAGAGGTTTGAGAATGCCCCTTTTTTTGGCTTTGTATGAAAACCACAAGATGGACAAATATGGGGGACGCACTTTCTAAAGTGTGACAAATGTCTGAAAAGAAAATGAAATAGAATTTCCAGTTTCACTACCGAGACGCATTATGCAGAAAAAGTGTCGCGGGAGGAATTGTGATTGATTGGTGCTAGCCACATAATGCTTATTATTATCCCTCAGCTTTGTCAGAGAGTGGCACGCAATGTGAACAGTGACACTTTTTCATCTGCATTTTGTAGGCGATATATTTAAAGTGTTCATGTTTGCCATGTAAGAAGACGGGCTCATCCTGGTACTACCAGTTCCAGTGAATGCAAAATAAGATGCAGTATTAAAAGGATTTATTTGTCATTTACTTATAAAATAAATGAAGCACATTTGTCCAAATTGTCCATTTGTCATTACATACTGGCAGAGGTGTAAACAATCTTTGAATCTCTGTGTCTTCAGTTACTGTTAATGTTTCATATGCACACAGGTGTTATTACTACCCTTTGCTGACTGTAAAGTCCTTGATCCTAAGCAAAGTATGTGGTTCCATTTAACCTATTTGCATACATCTATTACAGCAAGTATGTCTGCTGAATGATTAGAGTCAAAGAAGGCACGCAGCTCTTCTGCTCTCAAGAATAGACTACTCCAAATTATATTTAAGCTCAAGTGTGAGTTTCTTAAGCTGCCAGTCAGTAGTAGACCAGATTAGACGTATTACCAGCTCTCACTGCATGGGGTGAGAACATTGACTTGGATTCCCACTGGGTAGACGGGGTCTCATGTTCTGCTCTGTTTGGCTTGTGAGGATTATGGTTCTTACTGATTGGTTGTTGTGTAACCATATCAAAGGTTGCAAATCACCGAATGGTTTAGGCTTGTTTTTCTGTATTCACACAGTAGAAGCTGTGTTCTTTCCATTACAGCTGATTTCTTTTTAGTGAGTAAAATCCACGAAGAGAGTGACGCACATCACGTGAAGGAGTCCAAAAAGTCTGTTCCGCACTCTGACGCTTAAATTGAGTTTATGCTTATGTGTTAAATTTTCATTGTAGGTACACTGAAAGCAAACCCCCCCCAGCCACAAAAACCTACACCGAAACCTGGTGTGGTCCTCGACAGAAATGGAAGACTGGTTGGCCCGTTCAGTACTATTATTTCTTCCTTTTTGTGGATTTTCCATCTTCTTTTTCTGCTGCCAGTTTTAGAATTGACTGGAACAACTCAAAGATAAAAGCTCCATCATGGTGGTAAAGCATGGTACAGGTACAGCATGCACAGGTATAAATGTTGGGAAAGGCATCAGCCACTAGGCTATGTCATAGGCTCAACATAGATCCAGGGCACAAGTCATATTTAAGCTGTAGGAACAATAATTCAGTTTGTTCAATATCTCATTCAGTAGGCCTGGCAGTGTGTTAATTCAGCACATCAACAGGCTAACTTCTGCAGTGCATTCTCCAGAA